AGAGAGAGAGAGAGAGAGAGAGAGAGAGAGAGAGAGAGAGAGAGAGAGAGAGAGAGAGAGAGAGTTCTTGGGCTCCTATTACGTGGGATCCGACTATTACGTGGGAGTCGGGAGTCTGCATTAGAGGAGCTTACAATTGCAGGGCCAGGTTCTCCACAATACTGTGATTTCATATGGATGCAGGTGAGACAAAACTGGTCCCTGTTGTGCATCCTCCATTCATACAGACATGCGGATTTTTAGAAGGATGGTGTATGGTATGTGTGTGTGACTGTAGCGAATAGGGCCCTAGTAGGTAGCACCTGCTTCCTTCTTCCCCCGAACAGAATGCACCCTCGTTTTGGCTTGTACAGGAAAGATAGCTTGCATACATTCATTATCAGGGTGTGTTATGTTCGGGGGGAAGGCGGTGGTAGTTTCAGGGGAAGACGTCACGATGGCTGTGTTTGTGCTGAGCTGGCATGAATCTAGCCAGTTTTCAACAAGACAAATGTGAATGGAGGGCACCGGACGGTCATGGTATGGGTGGTGCCTAGGCTTTAGAATGGCCACTTGGTATAGTGTGGGCTTACTTCCCTTTCGGGAAGCTTGAAAAACACTGGTCTGTTTTTTGTGCCGCAGTGCACCAGATTTCAAGTGGTTGTGCAGCCGAGCACTGCACCTGCTTTTGCCTCTGCTTCATGTTCGGACCCTTGGCACCACCATATGTTGCTGGTGCAGTAGCAGCTTGAATGTGGCCTCTTCTCTTCTGCTCCCTTCTCTGATCTCCCCCCAACCCCACCCGCCCAACGCACACAGGCACAGACACACGTTGAAAAAGACACTGAAAATGAAGAGCTCCCTCTTCCTTTCTTTTTCTGTTTAGCGAAAAGGAGGTCCGTTATTGCTGGGGAGAGCACCTGCTGGGAACCAGGCCCAGTGTCCCTGGAGCAACAAATAAAGCACACACTTAACGCTTCCCTGCGTTTCGGCATGGGGATCCCTCAAGGGTAGAGTCTCATTATGGAAGTACGAAGAGTTCCCTCTTCGTCTCCACATACTTGCCTTTTTCTTGTTTTGCAGACGTGGTGTACCTGTCCTTGTGTTTCTTCGGTCATTGTGATGGTGGTTGAGGCTATTATTCCGAGATAAAAGAAAATGATTGGTTGGTATGATTCAATGATTGGTTGCAGTTTATCTTGGATTGTTACAGAGAGAAGCGATAAATTACCCCTATGTGAAATTGTGATTGCCAAATGGATGTGTATCCAAGGCGGGTTCTCTGCTTGGGAGTCCATATTTTTCAATTCTATCACCCTTATAGTGGCTCATGCCTGTGAAAATACTGAAACCATGGTGATGGCCCTGCAACTGTCAGACTGTCAGAATAACCGTTAGGGTTTTTTCCGAGTCGTGGCCTGTTCTCTGAATCATCAGGGCATCAATGGATCTTGACGGTTCTTCTGAGGGGCATGCTGTATGTCATCCCTGAGACAGATGTGATTTAACTTCATTTAAGCCTTTTGCAAATGTGCTTGGCACAGTTGGTACACCCATGTACTGTTAAATACCCCCCCAACTTGACCCAAGTTCAAATCTGGATGAAATCAGATGAGTGAGAATAACTGTGAATTAACCTGGGGCCAGTCAGTTCAAATATCATATCTAAAGACCATTGCGGTGTTGCTCTTAAAGCACCAGTACATGACAGCTATTGGCCGCGGGCCTCTTTCGGAGGCGACCCGCTCCCCATTCATTTTATCTACGATGCTCAGCCTCCTAGATTTCCAGAGAGGCTCAAAAGTTCAAAACTGACTCTCCAGTTGCCTGGGGCCATGTACTGGTGGTTAAAAAAACAAAAAAAAAAAGCACATGTGCTTGGCAGGCAGGGCCTGTCAAGCAGGCAATAGGGTTGTTCTGCTGTGGGTGTTTTCAAACTTGCTATTGGCAAAGGAAATCAGTGGACCCTCACAGATCTTCCTCTTTTCAAAGGACTCGGTGGAACATGGCATATGTACTTTTCGTTGAAGGGATGAATGGGATGCCTGTGAAGAGCGCACACTTTCACAGATCCTTATGCTAACACTGTACCAAGGGAGCATTGGGATAATTATTCTGGAGTCCAAGTTTGCACTGTATTTGACAAAAATGGGTGACCTCTTTCTGTAACAGCGTGCTCAGCGGCGAAATTGGAGTTTCATCTTGTAAGACATGAATGCTTGCCGAATCGTGCCTCGTGTGTCGTCCATCAGAGTGCAATAGACTTGCATATCTGCCCTTTGAAAATGCACCCAGTTGACCCTTCAGACCCTATGGTTAGCCCGTCGGTTCACAAAAGAAATCAGTTGACCCTTCTGTTGTGCTCCTGCATGCACCATGGATGGATGAATGAGTCGTGTTATAAGAGTGTTTTCTGTCGGCCTGGAAGCCTCAAGTGGTTCCATAGAGGTGCCATCTATCGTTTCCCCAGCGCCACCTTCGCCGGAGCCTGGGTTATAGATAATCGCTCACTTCTTATGGGAAGCAATCGAGAACATTGTAGTGCCTCTCCTCCGTGTCGTGGATGGGAAGACGGTTTCGCCTTCTTAGAAGCAGCAGTCACCTTCCTTTGAGATATAGATTGGTGTTATTGCAAGACGACGAGATTTTGTGCTTTGGGTGTGTTGTTCGTTGCGAGCAGAAGTATGTGCGCCTTTGCTCCATGTTGTGGGATGGGGTGACCCTCAGATTCGAAGTTTAAACTCGTGACCTCTTCATCTCCAGCAGTGTCATTGCCAGTGGCATGGATTAGTGTTTATCTTAATCATCAGAAGATTACATGCTCGGCCGTGTTGTTCATTCGAATCAGACCTATACTTCAAAGGTTTATGCGACTTACGTGTTTTTGTGTTTGCCATATGTGTTCTGGACCTTCTGGTTGCCTCTTGTCGCTTCAATTGTTTCTGTTTCTTTTGTTTTGGTCTTGTCATCAGCTAATCTTATCCAAGAGACATGGGTCGTCCAGGACATGCGGACTTGGTCCGTCGGGTTTGTGAAGAAAGGAACATGTACGTGTTAATTTCCCTTGACCCTCAGGACATTTTGCCCCTTTTTTTTTCTCCACTGCTCTTCTCGTTCCTGGTGGCTTGTCAATCAGCCTGTATTTATTTTTTAATTTTTTTTTTTTTTTTTTTTTTTTTTTTTGGGAATCAGCCTGTWTTTACTATTTATGCATGAATGGATTTGAGGAATTTCACGGTACTGTCTGTGTCTTGACCATCCATGTTTATCTTCCTCCTCATCTGGTGGTTGAGATCTGCTACATGAGGCAGGGGGAGAACACACTGCATTCAAAAAGGCAATCTCACAATCGCTTGTTCCTAGGTGAGCACGCACTCAGTGCTGCTCTAGTGCATCACGTAGAAAATCTTGATTTCTGCGCCGTGTAGAAAATCTCGATTTCTGTCCTTCGGGACATCCGTTAAAATTGGAACGATACAGAAAAGATTAGCGTGGCCCCTGCGCAAGGATGACACGCATAAATCGACAAATGGCCCAAATTATTAAAAAAAAAAAAAAAAAAAAAATCTTGACTTCTGCGCCGTGTAGAAAATCCTGGTATGGTGCGCCGTGTAGAAAATCCTGAGATTTTCCACAGTGTAGAAAATCCTGGTAAGGTTTCATTTTTGCGTAAGATTTCATTTCGGCACTCCTGATTGAGAGGCAGGAGGGAAAGTCCTATAGCATCTTTGCTCAGTGGTGTTCCCTTTGGCTCGCACAGAAAGGACATGGGCTTTTGGGAGTTTGTCGTTAGTGTGACGGACATGGGTTTGGTGCAACACGTTGCATTCGGGTGTGGCATGAAACGACATGGGCTTTTGACTCATGGGCTATACGCAGTCGGCAATATAATAATGTTATAACTTATAAATTATAATGCAAATAGTTTGAAATAAATTATAATGCAAAATGACCTGAGCGGTACTTGAATAGTGAAACCACATGGTTAACGACTGACACCTGCTAGTTGTATTTACGCCAACGCCCTTAGAAAATGACGATGTATCTCACAGTAAGAGGAAGCATGCCGACCTCGTGGTACTGATCACCTTGACACAACCAGAAATGTGTTATGTATCTCTGGGTAAGGTGTCCTTCTATTCTGTTCATGTGATTGCATCTGGAGTCGAACTTGAGTCTGTATTTTAGCAGCTCATGGGTGTACCAACTTCGTCAGCCCCGTCAGTAAGCTGTTCGTATTTACTCTGACACAATCGTTAAAAGGACTACGCATCTCATGGCAAGGCAGAGCACGTGAGGTGTAAATATTGTACTGCCTTGTACTTTGTCGAGGGCCCCACTAGCCTACCATCTTCCCCCAAACACAACTTACCCTAGTTATGGATGTATGCAAGCGCTCTCTTTCTGGTCCGATACGGTCGTGATGACGGTGTGTTATGTTCAGCGGAAGATGGTAACTATAGCCAAGGGCTGTTTGATTTTCTCGCAAAACCCATCAGATGATGCCAGCCTAGCGAATCCACAGCGAAGTGGGACCGTTTCCGTGTATTCCGAACTGACAGTGCCTCTGCAGTCTGTTTTGTGAATGTACTAACTTACTACTAAGACAGACTTTTTATTTTTGTTAAATTATTTAGGTTACCTCAGGGCGTCTTTTTGCTGAGGCAGATTCCCCCTGTGTGCCAGAAAAGGAGGAACTGCGGCGGTGCCGTTTTTTGTTTTTTTGGCTGGCGCCGCCAGCTAATTTGGTCGTGTAGCACTGCTCATCCAACGTCTGTGGATTGTTGTCATAGTGGCGGTGTAAAACGTGACAGGGCTTCGGAGTTTGGTTACGCCACGTATGAGGCCGACCTGGATGCGAAAAGTGCAGTTGCTAATAGTGACCGCTTTCACCCCCAGAACCGCCTTTCCCCCAAATAGAACGCGCGGTCATTATAGCTGCATTCGGTGCACCTCTCTGTCTAGATACAGTCATAATGACAGTGCATTCTGTTCGGGGGAAGACGGCAGGTCCATACAGACAGATCGAAGGTGTCACTGGAGCCAACCATGTGGTTGTTACATCATCCATTCCATACTCGATAATCCCTCCGAAAAATACCATTTCCCGGAACCAAAAACGGTCTGATTCTGCCACTCACTGTTGTTATGAATCCAGACTTTCCGGCTGTAGGTCCATCCATGGCGCACATTACGATTCGGCACCCTCAGCCACAACAAGCAAGTATCGGTGCCCAGTATCCACAATTCGCCAACTGGCTGTCACCGGGATGCACTCTGTCATTGACGTCAGCTGCTGCTTATCTATCTGCATGAGGGCGCTCTTGGCTAGTACCGTCTTCTACCCCGAAGACGCTGGATGGTCAGTGTATCTGTATTCAGGGCAACTTTCAGTCTAGATACAGTGATAATGACCATACGTTCTATTTGGGGTAAGACGGTAGCATTATGCAGCTTTATGCTGATCTGACATTTAGTCTGAAACACTGTTTAGTAACAGTTTCAAGATCTGTTTAGTAAATCGCCGACATTTTTGCTGTCATAAGCCCATGCAGATTTGTGCTGTACGGCGATTTGCTGCGCTGACCGGATTTCTGCTGTCAGCAAATCGCCGACATTTTTGCTGTCACAAGCCCATGCAGGTTGCGTGAGTGACGTAATCCGAAAACGCTGGTGTGGCGTAAGGCATTCCTTGCAACCCTTGTCTGGGCTACTGATGCCAACTCTGCCGTCCGATCTTCTCGTGGCCATCTGTGGTTGTCGTCAGCCAACAGCACCACTTGAGGCCAGAGCTTGCTCGCAAACTCCTACTTCTCCTACAGCCATACCCGACCCATATTGAACATCCATAATATTTGGCAACCGCAGCCAGACATAACTGCTGTTTAAAAATCCGCACAACCTTGCCTAGCCGCTGCTGGGTCAATTTGAGCGTACAAACCCGGGCCCGCCCGATCCCAAACCTTGAAGGCCGCGACATTTTGACGAGTGACCCGTAAGTCTAGACCCGCCCACACCTGGCCATTTTCTTCTTTGTTTACAAAAGGCCACCCACAACTGGCCTCTTTTTCTTCGCCACAATTGCCCCAACCCGGCCCAGGGCCATCCTCCCGTCGTGGCCAGGTGGGCCATGCGCGAGCCAGACCTTCCTGCAGCTGTTGGGTCCAGCCGGGGGCAGCTGGGCGCGGCTACGGCCAGCCGTTTGCAGGCTCTGCTTGAGGGGGTACTCACACTAGAATCTGACTGTGATTACGGCCCGGCATGGGTGCACCTCACCGCAAGTACGTCCAGAGCGGAGTAAAGGAAAGTCCTACTGTAGTCTGAGTACGCCCTGATTGTGTCTGTGATCATTACCTTTGTCTGGAGGTCGTCTTCTGTCTGTTCATTACCTCCTTGTTTTATTCCCCTGAAACAATGACGTCTTTGAGATACGATCATTTAACTGACTGGCCCCAGGGAAGTCAGAATTGTTTCATTCCGTTTCTCTGGTTGCATCTGGATTCGTACTCAGGTCTGTATTTCAGCAGTTCATGGGTGTGCCAACTGAGCTATTCATTTTGTGCCTTCCAGTTTCTAATGTTCCATAGGTCCCGGCTCCACCATCCACCAAATGTGCGAAATGGGAATGAATCTCCCGCTACAGCCTGGAAAGATACAATGCCATAACTTCCGTCTGTCGTGCCATGTGGTGACCAGTGGGGTAAGGCCCACAACTTCCAAGCGACTGGAAGCTCAAGCGTTTCRCTTGGGATCTAATCAACACTTCGTGCTTGGCTCTGGTGTGATCCTGTCACAATGTGTGTGTGGAAGTAGTGTCAGGAGAAGATTCATCCACGAGTACCAGAAGATCCATTCACAAGTAAGGAGAACGTTGTACCGGAAGAAGTCGCACCTCCACCCCAAGAAAAGTACGGAAAGTTTTGAGGGCTGTCTCACCTTCGTCATTGTAGGGAAAGGTGCACCTGCATCACGCCCCTCTTTCTTTCTTTGAAAAAAAAATAAAAAAGGCCCCGTCTATTCTGTGGGGCGTCAGTCCGCTTGCTTATCACCAGCAAGCATGAGTACACAGAGAGAGAAAGCTAAAGAACAGTACTGAGGAAGAATCAGCCCAACCCTTGTGGTACAAGATTGCAGTCCTCTTTCTGGATGAAACCTCTTTTTTTTGTTTTCCGTTTAAGTGAATTTCACCAAGAAAGAGAAAGGATGATGAAAGTTGCTGAGCTGTCTGCTACTCGGTTGATGATTTCCTGGATGCAGGTTATTGATCACTGCTTTGAAGCTAAACCGAGTTGAGATGATAGGCACTCCATTTATCTATGCATGCTGCTGACGTATGACTGCCAATGTCGTCGGAGCTTCAGCTCTTCTAGACCTTCTTCACAACGGAAGGCAGATGCTCATCTCATCCCACGAAACCTTGTTATGGATGGACAGGCCTTGCGTCAGTAGAAAGATCTCTAACAGCTCAGTGTTGCGCGTCACCATCATTGCATGTCGGCGCACATGTGGACAGGCCTTGTGGTAAGTAGAAAGATCTCTAACAGCTCAGTGTTGCACGTCACCATCATTGCATGTCGTCGCACATGTCAAAGATTTCACTTGCTCGGTTTGTTGGATTTGCTATCACTTCATGACCTTTCCGTGATCATTCTGCGCCGCTTAACATGGTCTATATGGTAGAGGAGTCCGATTCACTGCGGATTTGTGATGTCGCATTTCACATTTCGTATTCTTTGTCGAGTTTCATCCAATTTGATGACATGTTTGTTTTTTTGTTTTTTTTTTACTATTTTTATATCTATTCTTCACTTAGCTAACATTATGATGTCTCGCTTGTGTTCTTTCTTGTATTGTATTATAACTTATAAGTTATAACTATACATAAGTGATTTACCCGTCGTTTGTTGTCCTCTTCTCCCTTTCTGCCTGCAGTTCACCGGGCAGTTGCTCTATGACATTATACATATACACGTATCTTAATTTGTCCTTCTTCCTATCTCACAGGACTCCTCCTCGCTCTCTCCCTTTGTGTTTGAGATCAGACAGTTTCGCCTTTTCCATTGTTGCATTGCCACATCTTCACTCAACAAGAAGAACATGACGTTATCTTGACGTCATTCCACCATATTGCCATTTCTAATCCATGCTCGGAGTCCCCGCAGTTTCCCACTAGAATTTGGTGCTGACCTTCGAGAGTGCTTATTCGGTTAATGTGAGAGCACGATCACCGCTTGGTCGCATGATAATTGAGACTGACGTTCCAACACTTGAGCAAGTTGTTGACATGCGGAGCGAAGTCGTCATGCGGAGCAAAGTTGTGATGTGGAGCGAAGTCGTCATGCGGAGAGAACTTTGATACCATATGTCAGCAGCTCTCTCAGGTTATGATTGGGTGCGGATCCTGATGCCTGTGCAGAGGAATGCTCGTTCCAATGACGTAGAAGTTTCATCAGATCCTTCCTCCAACTGAGTTGGCATGCATGTATGTAGAGACGAGACGTTTTCTTCAGTAATGAGAGCAATGTTGTCACAGCTCGAGCGGCAGAACACAATTGCAATGTTTTCACAGAGAGCAATGTTTTCACAGCTCGAGTGGCGGAACACAATTGCAATGTTTTCACAGCTCGACTGGCGGAACATAACTGGCGTTGCCCTTCGGTGATGAAAGAGGAACTGATTTCAGAGTAACTCAAGTGGCAGAATACAATTGCGGTTTCTCTTCAGCGATATCAGCAACGGGATCACAACTAGAGCGGCGGAAGCAGAAGCCGCAGAACCCACAATTGCGGCGCCGTTTCGCTTCAGTGATCAAAGCAACGGTTTTGCAACTCGAGTGGCAGCAAAAGATGCAAAACCCAATTGATGTTGCGAGTCGGTGATGCGAGTGTCTCGCACTTCGTTGTGCTTCAAGCAAGCAAGTTTCTTTCCACTGGACCAAGTAAGTGTTCCGTGATTGGACGAGTCCGGCCTTTGCCTTCACCCTCTCACTCATTTGCGTTCCGTGAGTGGACAAGCCTTCCGGATTCCTGAGGCAGATGATTCTGTGCGGTGACTAGATTCATCTGAATCCTTGAATTCAAGTGTTTCGTGCACAACTGCTGGAAGGCCGCTGTGCGATTCTTTTCTTCGGTAATTGTTGGACAATCTTCTTATTAGGCATGCCAAATGTTGGATCAGTCCGAATGTATGTAGTCCACTTCCTGTCCACATACATGTGGCGTGCAGTGTAATGGGGCAAGGCCCTTAAGCTGCTGGTTCCCTTCCATTGCTGAGGTTTCCGCGCCGGAAATGGATAGGGGCAAAAGGAAATCCGAATTAATGCCAGGAGCACGAGATTGCGATTGCTGTTGTGGTGCTGCGCTGCACTCCAGGTGGCGCAGATGCATCTATGTTTGGCAATAAAGGTGGCATCTAGCCGCTTGCACGCGCAGTGTCCGGTGAAAGTTCGGTGACAACAAGAGCTGTTTGTGGTCTTTGTCTCCGGAGCCAAGCCTGTAATTGAAGGCTTTGCCCCATGCAATTTCAGCGATTTGCCAATTTGGCGACGATGTTGAGCTTAGGATGATGATGCTTGCCTGGCTGCCTGCCGAGCCCGGCACTTCGTCGAGGAGGAAGGCATATTGTGGTCGATTATATTAGGAGCGGAGCAATGCGAGCAAGCAACATTTTGCTGTTGTTCATTTGAGGTTTTGAAATCATTACCAGCCCGCTGCTGCTCAGCGGCTTATTGCAGAAACTGTTTTGTTGAACCTGACTTGTATCATTCGCATTACTTTCCTGTTCAGGTTTTGCACTGAATTCGGTTTTAGGGTCGGTCTGTTCTGCTCATAAATATTTAATCAGCTCCTGATCAACAGCAGTGCGGAACGTGTCGCCTGTGGTCTGTCAAATGGAAATTCCTGCAGCGACAGTCATGTGGTTTATGGTGTATTTAATTGGACCCAGCGCAAAACACAAATCGAGGAGAACCAGCCCGTCTTTGTATGGTAGGCCATTCATGCGGCTGATGCCCATAATCATGTCAATGCAGAGGAATGCGTTCGTGCGGTTATGAAGTGAACTATTTTGGCTAATTTCACTCAAACTTGTCTGAGCACGAGGGTTGCGGAATTTTGTTGATTGGGAAGCTGAGCACACACATTTAAACCGAAGCTGCACCTTTTTCGAAAAGCCTGAAGGGTCACCATTACTACACGACAACAGAGTTGACGGTAGGTGTGCAGCTGTTGGCTCCCCAAATGACGGTAGGTGTGCAGCTGTGTCTTTATAATGAACTAGCTGTTTATCAACGTGGCACATGCGGTCCACTAGTGTGTGCAGTATTTTTCCCCAACAGACTCGCATATGTGTTGCTAATGGCACACAATAGCATACGGAGGTTGGCGGGTTGACCAATCCATGGCGTGATGTCCCCTCTCTCTCTCTCTCTCTCTCTCTGTCTCTCTCTCTCTCTCTCTCTCTCTCTCTCTCTCTCTCTCTCTCTCTCTCTCTCTCT